TGAAGTTCAGAGGCTAAGAAGCCCAGGTCATCTCCAGGCTCCCTGCAGAGGAGGCCCTTTCTGGGGTGTCTCTCAACCTCTGAGCTATCTCTCCAGCCCTCTGGGGTATCTCTTATTTATATTCACCTCACAGTTCCCTGATCTATACCCAGACAAAGGTCTCCAGGTCAGGACCTCTGTGTTCAGGTGATGCCAGCAAAGCGGGTTTAGGGCAACACTCTTCTGCCTTGTCACTCAACCTGGGGGCTCCTGTGATGCTCAGGTTGTCTCCTAGCAACAGCGTGCTCCTGATGAGGGACCAGGACAAGCTCTGCAAGTCCTTCTTAGTATAGCTCCTTTCACCCAGGAGGGGGCAAAGGGGCAAGGAGGGGTCTGGGATGCAGAGAAGCCACAGGGTAAGTGGAAGGGAATTGGCTAGCAGGAGTCCTGGGCGCAGACCACTGTGACAGCCCAGGCATCTCTAAGCCCTTCCCTTAGACAAGCGCCTTAGTTGTCAGCGTCTCAGCTTCCTCACAGTGGATACAGCGGAGTGTAGTCTAAGCAGAAAGGATGGTTGGCAGTCAGAGGTCGGCCATGGGCAGTGTGGGCACCAAGTTTGTGCTGCAAATATGCCAACAGCCCACCCCGTCCTGTGTCTGCCTCTTGCCGAGACCTGGCTTCACAGGGAAGGTGCCCTGCGCTAAGATGGAAACAGGAGAAAGACAAGGAGGAGAGGGATGGGCGAGTGGGTGAGGAAGGAGGGACAGGAAGGAGACAGCAATGGCACAAAGTTTGTGGTGACCTAGTGAGGCTTGGTCAGAAAGGCGACATTAGGCCTTGACTTGCTTCTTCCAGGGGACAGCCCTGAGCAATCCCTCTGGGTCTCCTGGGGGGCTATGAGGTAACCCCTGTCAACATCCCACGGGGGAAATGGGAGGCAGCAGTTGGGGGAGAGGGACCCACAGCACTGATTGCAAGAAGCCAGACCATAGCACCTGGGGAGGATGCATGGTGAGGCCCTACGATAAGGACCCTCCTGTTCTTGTAGGTTAGGGATGGGCTAGCCCCTTTCTCTAGCAATGCTCTCCGTTCAGTTCATGAACACGGGACAGCTCGGCAGGACAGAGGTCCAGTGAGGCTGGTCCTGCCCTGCAGAGGGTGCAAGCTTGTCCCAGGGACAGGACACACCACACTTCCAAGCTTCAAGCTCTCATTCTTTACCTGAGCAAAGCACTTGTCCCTAAATTGTACTTGAGCAGGACAAGCACCCCCCCCCCCCACTGTCCTAAGAAGTCAGCCTCAGAGATACAGTATTCCTGCCACCTACCCTACCCAGGGCCTCTTCTACCCTATAAATGCTGGCTGGGAATGTAGCTCAGTGGGTAGCGTGTTTGCGTCACATATATGAAGCTCTGGTGTAGTGGTACATGCCTGGAATCCTAGGATTCGGGGGCAGGGAGGAGAGGACCAGCTTAAGACCATCCTGGGGTGCTCGCTTCAGCAGCACACAAACTAAAGGTGGAGCAATACAGAGCGGATTAGCACGGCCCCTGTGCAAAGGGCGACACACAAACTCATTAAGTGTCCCATTTATTTTTTTTCCTTGAGACAGGGTTTCACTGTGTAACAGCCCTGGCTATCCTAGAACTCATTCCAGGCTGACTCACCAAGATCCACCTGCCTCTGCCTCCTGAGTCCTGGGATTAAAGATGTGCACCACCACTGCCTGGCAAGAGTCCCATATTTTTAATAAAAGTATGTACTTTACAAAAAAAAAAAGTTTTAAAAGACCATCCTAGGCTACACAGTGAGCTCCAGGCCAGCCTGGCCCACTTGAGACCTAGTTCAAAAACAAAAGGAAACCCAAACCCAGCTGCCCCTGGTAATGCTGGTCATTCAGGTCCAGTCTCATCCCTATGGTAACAGCCTCTTTCCTACTGAAGACTTCCTTACTCCTTTTCCAATACAGCCCCTCCTTCCTTAATTAGAATTCATTGTGGATTTTTTTCCCCTTGACATCTGTAAAATATTTACAATAAAAGACATACTCAGAGTGGAAACAACAAGATAAAAATAAGCCACAGAGAAAAAGGAGGACAGCAGTCACACTGACAGACAGACAGACAGCATGTGGATTTGTAGGCCTCACAGGGGAACTCATGCTAACTGAAGTGATTCTCACCATCTGATGAGGGTCCATTAGGAAAGAGCGGGTGCCAAGCCCAGCGCAGAATGACTGAGCAGAGGACAGATCCAGCTTGTAAAGAAGGTTCCAGGGGCGAGTACCAGGGAGCTACCACTCACACCCCCCACAGGGCACTTCCCATGGAGTGGTGGGGATGGGATGGAGATGGGAGAGCCCAGATAGCCAAGCCTGGAGCAGGACTCCGGAGAGAGACGGGAGCTCTAAAGGAGGAGGCTCTACTTCCTTCCTGAGGTGTCCCATGTCACCCGGAGCTGAGCTCCTACCTACAGTCAGGACAGAGGCCCTGCAGGTGGAAGGACAGCCACTTGCCATCAGCCCCAACACTGACAACATGCCTCTAACCCGCCACTCATCTTCACAGAACTTCAGCTTAGATTAAAAACGTCTTTCTGGGAGCTGGAGAGAAGGAGCAACGGGTAAGAGCAGCCGTTGCTCTTGCAGAGGACCAGGGTTCGGTTCCCAGCATCCCCCTGCACGGTGGCTCAAACCATTCATAACTCCCTTTCCAGGGGAATGCGATGTCCTTTTCTGCCCTCCTGGGGCACTGCACAAGTAAGGTACAGGGACGTGCATGCGAATGAAATACCCATACATATAAAACAAAAGTAAGTAAACCTCAAGCAAACAACTGCTTCAGGAGAGCCCTCTGGCAGGAAGCCTGTAACTACAGTGCTGGGGCAAGGCAAGCCTGGGGTGAGCAAGGCAGTCTGGGCAGGGTAAATACTCAGCTTCCTACACTGTTGGGCCAAGAGACTTAGTTCAGGTAGACATGGAAGTCTCTGTATGAAGGGCCTTAGAGAGAGACTGAGACAAGGATCTGGGAGGAACTAAATAGACCCCCAAATATGCTACTTTAACATAGTATTATTTTGTGGGTTGTTTTGTTTTGAGACAGGGTTTCCCTGTCTATCCCTGGCTGTCCTGGAAGTGTCTCTGTAGACTAGGCTGCTCTCGAACTCAGAGAACCTCCTGCCTCTGCCTCTTGAGGGCTGGGATTAAAGGTGTGCACCACCATGCCTGGTTGATATAAGATTTTTCTGAGTTAAAGACAATAGAGAAATAGCAGACATCACATGTGGAGAAGCAGGCTAGATATCGCCCTTCATGAAGAAGACTTGAGCCAGGCATCGCGGTTCATGCCTGTAATCCCAGCCCTTAGGAGGCTGAGGTAGGAGGGTTGCTATGAGATCAAGCCTAGCTTAGGCTACAGTAAGACTTCATCTAAAATTTAAACAGAGAAAAATAAGTTAAAAAAAAACAAAAAAGAGGAGGAAGGGAGAGTGACAACATGAATTTGTAAGTTTATGCCAAAACGAGAACAGCAAGGATGCTGATCCCCAGCCTTGGATACAAAGCAAGTTTCAGGCTGAAGGTTAACTACATAGTGTGTGTGTGTGTGTGTGTGTGTGTGTGTGTGTGTGTGTGTGTGTGTTGTGGGGGGTCAGGCAGAGACTGAGACACACATATACAGAGAGACCAGAGGGAGGGCAGAGAGGAAAGAGAGAGGAGAGTGGAGGGCAGAGAGAGGAGGAGAGAGGGAGAGAGAAAGACTGAGTGATATTGAGATTTCTTTGGTCAGTTTAATTTGAGGGTTCTAGAGAGAGGGTCTGGGAGAGTAGAGAAAACCCTCTTACTCTCCTGCAGAGACCATTCCTTTTCCCACAGCGTGCAAAGGGCTAACCTGGCGGTGGAGGGCTTGCACCTCCATACCAGAGGCCCTGGGGTCAGGCTCTAGCATGCTGCCCACACAAATCCAAAGGGTTATGCTATATCATAGTATTTTAGCCATTTTCGCTTTCCTGGTCACAAGAATGTAGCAGGAACCAAATGAGCTCAGCTGTTTACCTTTAAGGAGCCCTCTAAACATTTCTCCCCTGGGATCAGATGGTCCCCACCCTGCAGGAAGGCCTAAGGTTGAGTTTCCCAGTTCAGCAGGAGCAGCTGATGACAAAGGGGTGGGGACAACGGTGGGTGGCAGTCAGGGATATAGGACTGACCACCGCGGGAGCCCAGCACCCCTGGGGCAAAAGATATCAGCCAACTAAAATCTGCTTTATAATCTGAAATTCCAGCATTTTCTAGGCTGTGTTCTGCAGGTATTCTTGGAGAAACACCGATAACCACTCCCAGGCAGGGAAAATAGTGGTAAAGAAAGGGATTTTTGCTGTAGGCCCAACCCAGGATACCAAGGCCCCAAAGCCTTGCTCCCAAGTTTAATTTCACAATTTGGGGTGGGTGGGTGGGTGGGTAGAGAGATGGCTCCAGTGGTTAAGAGCATTGGCTGCTCTTCCAGAGGGCATGGGTTCAATTCCCAGCACCCATATGACAGTTTACAACTGAGATTATGGTTCCAGGGGATCCAATGCGCTCTTCCGGCCTCGGTGGGTACGGCACACATGTGGCATGCTTAAAAGCAGGCAAAATACTCATACACATAAAATAAAAATAGATAGGCTGGACAGAGTGGTACACATCTCTAATCTCAGCACTCCAGAGGAACTCAGCGAGGATCTGTGTGAGTTCAAGGCCAGCCTGCTTTACAAAGTGAATTCCAGAACAGCCAGAGCTACATAATAGAGATTCTGTCTCAAAAAAAAAAAAAAAAAAAAAAAACTGACTAAATAAATAATTATCTTTTTTTTTTTAAAAAAATAATGTTTATTAAAGAAAATCACAATTTGGAACCCAGCATGGTGGCATATACCTACTACTAATACAGCTACTTTGGAAGCTGAGGTAGGAAGATTGCCCAAGGCAGAAGTCTGAAGCCAGACTGGACCACGTGGAGACTTCCATCTCAAATAAACAGTCATGAGTGCTCACTTCAGCAGCACATATACTAAAACTGGAAAAATACAGAGAAGATTAGCATGGCCCCCTGCACAAGGCTGGCATGCAAATTCGTGAAGGGCTCCATATATAAAACAAACAAACACGAATTAACTCTGCCGCCAAGGCCGGTCAAGTAGGCTTACTTTTGTCTACTTCCCAAAATCAATGACGGTCAGTTGATTGGTAGGCACTGCCTTCTAACCCCCAGCAGAGACAGGGCCTGGCTTTCTGCTGAGAGGGAGGTACAGAGAGAGAGCGGATCAGAGAAGCAGGAAGCTGAGTACCGTTCCTGCAGAGTCTGTCCTGTCTGTCACTGCAGCAGAGAAGTGGAGACAGGAACCCGGAGGGCCTCACTGCACAAGAGAGTGCCAGCCAGGCTGGAAATGGCACGCTGGTGGATGGAGGAGATGCGGCAAGGAGTGGCCCCAGCGATGTCTACGGCATCTAAGGGTGAGGCCAGGCAGAGGGCACGGGTGAAGATTGGTCAGCAGTGTGGACACTATCACTAGAGATTCCGAGAAAGGAGGGGACAAAGTCTGAGAACAAAGTCCCAGTGTAGCTGGGAGGGGTACTGGGCCTCCTGCTAGCTCTCTTTACGAGTCTTTCTCAAGCACCTATGCATGGTGTGCATTTTGAGGCCTCTGACCTGCTCTCTTAAGTGCTCCTGGGTTTCTGGGTTGGAACGAGTCCCTCCCTGGTACAGGGGCGAGCTTCCCATCTGGGATGCATCCACTCAGCCAGCGAGTCCCAGCTGTGCACCAGGCACAGTGCGGAGTTTTGGAGGCACACACTTGGGGACCCAGGGGAGGTTCTGGACGTGGATGAGAGAGACTGGAGAGACGAGTGTCCGGTGTGAAGGATGTGACCAGGGTGGACGGGCGGGAAGAGGGCACTGGTGGTAGTACCTAATCACAAAGGGCAGACAGGGTCGGAGGTAGGAGAATCGTCTGAATGCACAGGTTGGTTTATCGACCTGACACAAATCTAGATATATCTGGGAAGAGGGAATCTTAACTGAGGAAAATTCTATCAGATTGGCTGTGGGGCAATATTGATGTGGGAAGACCCAGTCCACTGGATCTGTGCCATCTTTGAGCAGGTGGTCCTGGGGTATAAAAGAAGCAGGCAGAGCAAGGCAGTAAACAGCATTCCTCCACGGCCTCTGCCCTGCTCCTGCCTGGAGCTCTCGCTCTGACTTCTCTTAGTGACCGAGTGCGACTATCCTGAAGGAGCCCTCACTCAGCAGCCTGGCTAAAGCCTCTCCGTCGAGAAGCCAGAATCCCACCGCAACTAACATTAGCGTTGTAGTTGCTAGCATGATGTCACTATCCCTCTCATATGGACCTTTGACGCTGACATCAATGGCTCTTGGATTAACATCAAGGCCTGGATGAGTTATGAGCTTGGGCAGGCTCTCCCGCCTTTCCTCAGGTGTTTTCTGGGGATCTCAAGGCTGTTAACTTTGCTGCCTCCTTGTATCTCTGTGACCTCATCGGCCATAATCCCGTGGGGAGTCTATAGGAGCCATCCTATGATCTCATTTGGGTTTCTTAGCAACCTTTTGAAGATAATAGTCTCAAACCCCACCAAAGTCCTACCTACAACTATCTAAAGACTATAAAGTAAGCGTCTCTTTCTCTCAGAAAACCCACACCCACGCTATCCAGTGCATCTGGCTTTATTTCTAAGTACTCCCCTCATGGTTAAAATCTATATTAAAAGCATCTTATAACGAAAGGGTAAACTCTGCTTCACCCGGCTTAGCCTAAAATTAATTTCTGTGTCACAGCCGCAAATCCTAGTTTGCCCTGAACTGAGGCCCTTAAAAGATAAGGGAACTCGCCAGGCTGCTGTGGGCAGAGTGGAGCTGCGTCTCCTGCTTCTGTCCCCCTCGGCAAGTTCCAAGTTAAAGGCTTAGAGGACAAGTCTGACAGTTGGATGGAAAATTTGTCACAGAAAGGCAAGAGAGTGTAAGATGTGGGTTGGAAGGCAGCTACGGGCTCGGCAAGGGTCGGGAGAAGGGCATGGGTGACTCAAGACATATTCTAGATCAAATCCATAGAACTTTGTAGGGCTCCAGGTGAGGGAGGAGGAAGAGGAGGGAGCAAGGATGGATTAATTAATGACAATTGACCTTTGAGCTGAGCAGCTAGATGGGGAGCCTAAGAGGTACATTCCTGGGGTGCAGGAGTAGACTGGAGAGTGTAGGACCAGGCTGGGACCTCCCTCAGGCACACATCTGCAAAGGCACCATCCGCCATGTCACCGGCACTTCCATCACGTCCTACGGTCCCTCAGGTAAGGCACCAGACACAGGGAGGTCCCTGGTATGAGCCCTGTCTTACAGTTTTCTATAACCTGTTATGATATTCTCAGCTCAGCTCCAAGAAGGAGGAGATATGGCTCAAAGGAGGCTGCGGAACAACTCACTATTCTAGGCTGAGGTCACTGAAGAGATTTGACAGCTGAAAATATTGTGTGATCCTGGCTTAGGTCTGAGGTCAGAACAAGAAGCTAGAGACTGGGGAAATATGAATGTAGTTTATATTAGATGATATGTTGCATCCATCCTAAATTCCCTGCACGTGACAAGATTGTTGTGGGAGAAGGCCCTTGGGCTTAGGGGCCATCCAGAATTTAAAAATTAAGGCCAGGTGAGGCAGTGAACAACACTCAGGAAAAGGCAGGAGGGACACAGTATTTCAAGGTCAACCTCCTCTCCACAGCAAAATTGAGGCTAGCCTGGCCTACATGAGACCCAGTCTCAAACAAATAACAAATTTTAGAATCAAATGTCATTATGTTTGCAACTACCTTTTATATAGCCCACCAAAACAGGCAAACAAATTCCCCAGCAATAAACACACACACATACACACACACACGCTAATTGTTGAGTTTAAATAAATGGATTTGTTTTGCACTTATCATTTTTCTAAAAGTTGAAAGCTTTTTAAATTATAAAGTCAGAGCATAGCATCCCAGTGACTCTACAGCCCTCTGGAAGGCAAAGGCACGCTCACTGCATTCCAGGACTGCCTCCTTCCTCAGCTGAGAATCAATCCAGCAAGCTGGTTCGTTCTATAGGACTATGAATGCTTTGGGCCAGGGTACAATCCCAAACTGTGCCAGAGGATATCTACCAAACCACAGAAAAACATAAAAATGCCAGGAACACGTGAACACACAGCAGGCCAAGCAAGGGCCATTTGCATTTGCAAGGGACAAGATTCTTCTTACCCGGCTCCACTTCCTTACACAGAGAAAGCACTGACAGGCACTGGCCAGAGGGCAGAGTCCAAAGCTCTGTGGTTTCATGGAATTACCCTGGGGACTTCAAAACACAGAGGTCACCTCCTGGGTCAGAGGCCCAGCCTGATTATGGAGACTCTTACAAGCTCCCAGGTCATCCTAACATGCCCCAAAGCTTGAGGACACTGGTTCAGACAGTGAATTTGTGTTAGAATTACCTGGGGAAAAGAGAGAGAGAGAGAGAGAGAGAGAGAGAGAGAGAGAGAGAGAGAGAGAGAGAGAGAGAGAGAGAGAGACAGAGACAGAGACAGAGAGAGACAGAGAGAGACAGAGAGAGAGACAGAGAGAGACAGAGAGAGACAGAATGAGATGAGAATCTCTGTGCAGTAGGACTTATGGTTTTTTTGGGTTGGTTTTTTTTTTTTTTGACAGTTCCTTCCTGATTCCAGTGTGCAGCCAGCCCTGAGAACACTGATTCAGGCTGTGTTGTTTCTGAAAGCTAACCTCTTACATGTGCACATGCATGTGTACATGTACATGTGACATGTTTTCCTACATGTCAGAGATTTAGCACACTGATGAGGGAAAGTTCACAGGACTAAAGGGACCAGAGTATGTGTGGGTCTGTGAAAGAATGTTTGCTGAAGAGAGACAGCACAGTTGGGCACATAAATGGTTAACAAAACCAAAATATATACCTCCACTGGGCTCAGAAAAGGTAGAACCCCCACACATGGGATGCCACCCCCAAACCGCCATGCTCTGCAGAGTCGCAATACTGTCTTTCCGAAAAAAAGTGTTCTTAGAACTTAAAAGTGCAGCTAATCAACCGGGCGGTGGTGGCGCACGTCTGTAATCCCAGCACTCGGGAAGCAGAGAGAGGCGGATTTCTGTGAGTTTGAGGCCAGCCTGGTCTACATTGTGAGTTCCAGGACAGACTTCAAAAGCTACACAGAGAAACTGTGAAGGGGCCTGTCTTGAACCCACCCCCCTAAAAAAGGTGCAGTTTGTCATGAGTGGCCTTTGGAATATGCTTCTGGGTGGAGGATAAAGGGATGGTGGTCTGGGATATTTAGGGTCTATGCTGAGGGATCTGTAGCGCTCTTAGGCTGGGTACCGGGCAGATAGGACTGTTCTGACAAGATGGACTTTGGCAGTGTCCTCTGAATGTGAGCGGAAGCCATGTGGTATCCAAGATAAAGCCCTGGCCCCCCCAAACCCCACTAGCTTTGCTACTGTGTATGTTAGGGGAGGGAGGCTGTGTCAGCACAGCCTTGCAAGGATTTCAGGAAGACCTGTAGGAAAGTCCCTTTTCTCCCGCCTTGTGGGTCCTGGGGGTGGAACTCGGGCTTGGCGGCAGGCACTATCCACTGAGCTACCTCAGTAGCCTAAGAGAGAAGGATTTACTTATGTAGACATGTTTGCCTGTGTGTGTGCATGAGCACAGCATATGTGCCTGGTACTGGCAGAGGCCAGAGGATGGTGTCCGATCTGGAGTTACACACAGCCGTGAGCTGCATGTAGGTGCTAGGAACTGAGCCTGGATCCTATACAAGAGCAGTAAGGGCTCTGAACCACTGAGTCATTTCTCCAGGCTCAAGAAAAAAACCCTTAGTGACCAAAAATTCACACCAAGAAGAAGCCACATTATTTATGTATCATTTATTTAATATTTATTTTAAGGCAGGGTCTCACTATATAGCCTTGGCCAGCCTGGAACTTGATATGCAGACCAGGCTGGCTTGGAAGACACAGAGATTCACCTGCTTCCACCTCCAGATACTGGGATTAAAGGCATATGCCAACACAACCTGCCAAAGTTCGATATAATTACAGTCC